ACTATGAAATGAGATTTTAATATCATGAAGAAAGACTTGAATTTTTGCAGCAGAGCAATGTTGCCGGTTTCTTTTCAAGGCACTAAACATGGAAATATGGAAATTACAGTGGCTAAAAGTTAAGCAGTGTTGCTTTAAAGGTTCTATATCATGTTTTTTTTTTTTCTTAGTCTTTCAAAGTCAACTGAATAAAAATATTGGCATTACAGAGCAACCATCATGTAATATTACTTGCTTTCTAATAATATTTTTCAAACCTATAAAAAAGATGCTTGCTTTCACTGAAACACCACCTCTCACCATTTGCTTGTTTGCCATTTTGTTGTGTCGTCGTTGAGCTGCTGCAGTATGGAAATCATAGCGCCTCCAGTAATTAGGCTCTTCCAAAGGAGGATGAACAAATCCGAGGCCTATTGCAGTGCAAAAACACATTTTTGTGACATTAGCCAAAAGTAGAATAGTTGCTTTCCCTCTGCAGATTAGGTTCAAATAGAGCGGCTTTGAGCAGAAAGAATTGCTTTGCCTCGCATCACAGAAAGTGTTGTTTACTTGGCAACGTTGTCATGGTAGGTGTATTACCATGGGATCAAACACAGGTAAGATAGACAACAAACTTAAGCTTATTCTATCAATGGTTTAAAGAGAGAGAAGAAGGTTTCAACATTGTTATAGTATCTGGAAGGTTTGCTACAGATTAGTGGAGCATAATAACTAAATGCTGCTTCTCTACTCTGGTTCTGTTTCTGGATATGCTGATTAGATTTAACCCAGAAGACTGGAGAGGTTTAGGCAGTTGATGCAATGGCAGTAAGTCATTAATTGGAAATTAGGTGATGCACTCTACTTTCTTAGTCTTAGTGAGGACACAGGCAGCAGCATTCTGGATCAACTTTAGTTGACTGACTGACTCACCTGTTAGGAAACAATTGTACTAGTCAGTTCGACTAAAGATAAAGAGTCAATTAGGTTTTCAAGATCTCACTGAGTCATTTACTTCTGGAAATGTTCTTAGAGTGATAGAAGGCCATCTTTGGTACTTTATGTGCCCCTGAAGATTTACATCTGAGTCCATCACTACTTCCAGATTTCAGGCCTGATCAGTGGACACAGAGAATAAAGAACAGCTTTTTTTTCAAGAGGTATAAGTATTCTGAACTCTGACATGCACTGTTATTTTCTCTTGTGCCATCTCAAACCATATTCCAATCACTGATCGACAATATATATTTATGTGCAATTATTTATTACATTTATTTATTTATTTATCTACATCTGTATATAAACCATATGCGTTTCTCGAGACTGAGCACTTTTTCATATTTTTCTACCCTGTCTTTGCAGTGTTATTGATGGCTTTTAATTATTGAAAAACATCTTTTTGTACAATAAATCTGTGAGTTTCAAATGTCAATAAATCTGTGAGTTTCAAAGTTTCAAAAGTTTCAATATTAAGTTTGATAGAAATTAAATGTATTAAGCCTCACAGAGTTGACTCTGTAAGACACTGCCCTCCCATTTGCATAATGAGGCAGAAATGCATACAGAAAAGTAAAAATGACAGGCAGAAATAAATAGTGGGTAAAAAAAAATACAAAGGCAGAATAAAACAGACAAAAATATTATATCATGCACATAAATAAATAGTTTAAAAAAATAAGTAATAAATAAATAAAGTTGAAGATTATAATGGACAATAATTAAATAAGATAATTATTACAAAGGCGAATAAATATAGAAGCTAATTTAAAGAGATATACTTTGTCTCACTGTATAATTTAATTTCTACCTACATGAATTTGTTTATTGTATTTTTGGGGGCAATTAATTGAATGGTTATTTATTTACAGAGCAATTTATTTATTTCAGTATTTATTTTTAGATATGGCACAGTTGGTCCATTTTTAACTTTATTATTTAAAAAGTAAGTACAAACAAGTAAGACAATAGCAACAGTACAAATCTGTGGAAGGCATAGTAGAGGCAGATTTCAAAAATGGAAGTACAAGGCATTGCTGATAAGGAAAAAAAAGAATACATAAAAGGAATGCCTTATAATAATGAAATGACTACTAACATGACAACAAGGGGATTCATGTTAGGTTTGTTGAACATCAGTGGGCAAACCCATCAGTATTTCAGTCAGGTATTCGTATGATTTGATACATTTAAGAGATTTCAAATATAACTTGAATTCGGATAAAAAAAAAAAAAAAACTTTAAAGATTGGGGATAATCTCAACACTCTTTGTTTATTATTAAAGAATTTTGCTAAACACAAAATTTAGTCACAACAGAGTTCTGTTGTTTTGTTTTTCAATAATATTCCAAAAGTTACCATATCTCTAGAAATAGATTCAAGAAGTGCAATTTTTGATTTGATCCATGTTTCGAAGCAATTCCAAAATGTTTTGGTTTGATTGCGTCCATAGAAATCTATTGATTCTATATCCCTTTCACAGAATGAGCATTTATTGTCATCAATATTAAAAAATTCAGTAGTTCTCTTGAGGGGTAAATTGCAATAAAATTTTAAAATAAGTTTCTTTAGCTTTTGGATGTATGGGGAGTTTTAGATAAAGAGTTCTCAGTGTTTAAGTTGATTCATTTTATTTTTGTTTATTTTCCCCGGGAATAAAGTTTCGTTTAAACAATTCCTAATTGTGCGGTTATTGAATTGTTGGTCAGTGATTGATGTTCCATTAACAGATAGATTGGGTGGCCATAGCATAGCTATCAGTTAGTTAAGAGGAGAAAAAAAATAAAGAAAGAAAGAAAAGAAAAAAGCCTCTCACAATATGGCGGAGAGGTTTACGTAGGACGCTTTTACGTCGTCTCCACCCCTACGTCATCGAACCCGAATGGCCATAGATTTTCACGCCTGGAAAGAAGCGATTTCTCACATATCCCTCTCAAAGCTTTACGTCGATGGGATCTGTATTGATAGGGCTCATGCAAGGTATTTAATTTAAATTTTTAAAACTACGATGCAAGCGATTATCAAAGTAGTAGCTGCTGATTTATCCGCTTTGCTCCATATCCATTGTTTTGAATTGAGTGTTAGCAGCGATAGTGAGTGTAATCCAG